TTCACGACGACTAATTAATTACTCGGTTGTGTTCGGTTGGCTTGCTCGTCTAGCCAGCGGGTGGCGTGAATTGAGGCTAGAACAATGTGTACGAAACGTGAGCATTGTGGCCAGCAACGTTACAAACGTTTGCTGACAGCCTGCTTGCCAATCCAGGTAGTCCAGGTAACTGTTTCTTGCATATTATTACATGAATACATACATTATTATGTTCATTATTAATAAAAATACCACTACTCTCTTATATTATCTGCGTGAATGCGAAAGCAAATTTGTATTTAGTGGTCTTAAAGCGATTCGCAAAGCGCTATTGTAGAGCAGCAATCGTCTTGGCATCGCTCCCCGCAAAAGAAGCGCTGCGTACGCTCTATCGTTGAGTTTTTCTGTCTCTCTGCCGCTCTCTGCACACGAGTCTCTGTTGAATATGTGATTTTTTCTGATCACCCTCCAGATCAGATCAGCAGCATTTGCATGTTCACGAATGTTTTTACTTATTTTTACTTGTGTTTTATTCGTCATTTATATGAAATATTTCGAGTTGTATTCATCAACGAAGTGTTATTAAGAGATTATTGAATTAATGAAATGAACAACGCATCCAAATGAATTGCACTGAATATTCGTTGATTTGACATTGTTTTATGTGTTTAAACATTATTTTGGCCGTTCAGATGCACAAGCCAGCACTAGAATTTCGTTTGGATGAATACGAGTTTAAATTCGCCTCACCATTCTAAAGTGCCAATTAGTTGTTCATTAATTAAACAGTGATGTATGTGCTAACTTGAATAATATGAATCGTTATCATAGTATTAAAACATTTGCAATATCAAGAAGACCAGTGTGAGTCAGATAATTTATAGATGAAAAGTGCAAAAAGTGAACAACATTCAAAGAAATAATTTGCAGCAAATTGAACTGTATTATTGAGGATGGGTTCAACAACGAATCGGTTGGATCCAGTTGAAGACTATGCTAGACTTCTGATGCAACAGGCTACGGCCCGAATTCTCGAGAATACCGGTTTTGCACAGGCTGGTGAACGGGCATTAACCACACTTACAGATATCACCAGGTTTATGATGCAGAAACTTTGGATTGATGCGAAACAATTTGCGGAACACGGTGAGTTGATGAAGGCACTTAATATGCTTGCAATTTTTATTGTGAAGCTGAGATTACGATTACAATCTTGTTTGAATGATTCGATTTGGTAGTGCAGTTAGGGTGTGCTTGAAATGAATTTGTAGAGGATTACAGTGTTGCGATAGGTTTATAATTAATCACTCTTATCGTTGATTGTTGTTGATTTGCGAAACTTTTGGTGTCATGTGAGATTGAAGGTGATCGATTGTTGAGTAGATTATTTAGTAGAATGAATGGGTGTATTTGTGAGTGTTCTTGAACGAGTTATGATTTGCAGCCGGAAGAATAGAGCCGAATTTCACGGATGCCCATATGGTGTTCGAGAATTTACAGTTTAATGTCACTGAATTGCACGATTACCTGCAACAAACCTACTCGATACCACCGAAAAGGAAGGTTTATTATTACTATTATTGTTATTATTATTATTATTATTATTGTTTGCATAAAGCATGATGCTATTAAATGAGTTTGTGTAAAACAAGTAACCGAAGCCTATTCATTCAGGTACCACAGTTCCCAGTGCAGTTAGAGTCATCTTCATCAAGTCTTTACGATCCAGTCTCAGAGCGAGAATTGGCCGAAAGGTCAGAGGATATCCCACGTTTTATGCCACCGATTCATCCGGAATGGTGTTCGAATGCTGGTGAGTAGAATTTGTTTGTTGATGCTTTCATTGTCATGCTGTTATTATCGAGTGTGAATATTTTAGTGTCACCCTGTTCATCGTTGCCAATCACATCGGTATGTGATGCGACTCAAAAGAGCAATCTGGAAGAGACTAATTCCGAGAATAGTAATGAAACAATGATGCAGCAACAGCAGTCGACGGCAAGTGATAATAATAAGGATGAGAACGGAATGCAGCAGACGAATAATCAGCGTGGGTATGTTGTTTAGTTTTGTGATTTTGAATTGATGTGCTCAGGTTGTTATCGGATGGGTTTGGTGTGGCTATTCGAGTTTAGATTTGGAATGTTGTTCGGTTAGTGGAATGGAAGTTGCGTGCATGTTTTAGTAGCAGATTGAGGTTTTCGTCTAGTAGCTATTAACTGCTATTATTAACGAATAATAACACATGATTGCATAATAGATACCGAATCATAGCCTGCTGATGCTGCTGCTAGTACAGGTTTACAACATTATTGATATTACTGAGCTACCGTACCGACCGTTCAGTTCAAAGTTTTGCTCGAAACCGAGTGCTTTGTGTACCACTATCATTGATTACTGTTATAATTGTTGTTGTTATTACTGTTATTGTTGTTGCTTTATTATTTATTACTGTTATTATGATGGTGGTAATAGAGAGGAGGAATGGAATATAATTGAATTGATTTCAGATCATCGCGATCGAGCACGTCGTCGTCGAAGTGTAGAGTGGCATTCCCAGATTTCAGCGGTCTAACAGCCAAAGATCTCGGTCTGATAAGGCAAAAGCGATCGAGTTTCGCATCGCTTCAGAACGCCGAACCGAGCGGCATCTCGAGTTCGGCAAATATCTCATCAGTACACAGCAACGATAACATCAACACTGACCATAATGCAAATACTAATAACAAAGACACAACAACATCGCCAGTCACCATCAACACAGTCAAATTGAAGCATCGTAAAGCCGTGAATCATATCATTAATATTGCTAATAAAGATGATACTAGCAACACGAGTAATAATGCCGAGGTAAGTCATTGTTTTTATTATTATTGATGTTGTTATTTTAAACATTATTGCTTTTGATAGTATTGTATAAAACTGTTGTTAGGGATAAATGTAAAGGTGAGATTCGGGATGTTTTGATGTTGGTGAGAGTGATTATTTTGTGGTAATTATGTTGATTGTTGCAATTGTTACCTGGATTAGCCAGGTAATATGAATTACCTGGATTACACTATAGCATATTAATTATTACCTGTTGCAATTGTAATTATTCTAAATGAAATGTTATTGAACAGAAATTGTATCACCACCATCAGCAAACGAAATTAACGGTGTCACAGCAGCAGCAGCAGCAGTCAGTATCGACGAGTAACGTTAACGATAATAGTGCTAATCAGCCATCAACATCCACAAATACAGAAGCGGTCTCGATGGTACGCAGCAAGGAGGTGATATCGTCGCAGTTGAAATTGGAGTCCGACGAGACGCAGTCTGAAAATAATTTCCCTGTAGTAAGTGATTACATTGAATAAGTTCGTGAAACTTTGAAAATGATACTTTTTCCCTATAGTAAGTAATCGATTGATCGGTTGGTATTTTGATCGATCGGTCTTGATCAGATTATAAGTTGGATCAGTGATCGGGTTGATAGGCACATGTGCGGGTGCAGGATACTGCATGATCAAGTGAATAATAAGGGTAATTAATTAATTAAGCGTCGAGCAAGTGGAATGTTCGGAATGCCGCCGTCAGCAGTGGTAATGCATCATCATCAACACCATCACGCTGCACTGGGCGGTGCTAGGATGGTGTCGACAGCATCCGATTCGAATTTATTGAGGACGGCAGGGACCGGGTCAGGAGCTGGAAGTGGAGGGGGAGGAGGGGGCGCGTCCGATGACGGAGGGAGCCCTGGCAAGAGCAAGAAGAAGAAGGCAAAGAAATTACACGATAAGGAGAAGAAGGAGAAACATAAAAGCAAAGACAAATCGCACAAAGAGAAACGCAAGGTTGGTTGCTTTGAGTTGTTTGTGGTGACGTTTTTTGATAGTTTTAAGGTTTTACTTTTTAGTGATCATTTGCAAATACACTACTAGAAGTGGCCACATTAACGTGGCTAGATATCAACCTGAAATTCAACATTATTTATTGTGTCTTGTTTAGCAGCAGCAGCAGCAGCAAGAGATAGGAGGATGTTCGCTGAATGCAACGGCATCGTGTTCCTCATCGATATCGTCGTCGTCGTGTTCCGTGTTCGGTATGAATACAACACAAGCAACGAGCACTATATCCACATCATATCTGCAGGTGGCATCTGCAGCATCTCTAGTAACTGCAGCGGCAGCAGCAGCAACAGGAAAACAGTTGATATCGACATCGAGACAGCAATTCCAGCTGCATGACGATCTGCCGTTGAGTGCGGCTTTGGTGGCTGCGAGGGGAGGTGCGGGTGCAGAGCCGTGTGCAGTGCCCGGCACGAGTATGAACACGTCGTGCTGGCTCGATAACGCCACAATACCCAAGAGTGGTTAGTTGTTTTTGGATTGCTTATAGTGACGACGTGTTATTTGAAGTCAGATTACGACGGTTACGTAGTTACTTGTTATTATTATTATTGTTATTGTTATTATTGTTATTGTTGTTATTATAATTGTTATTTGTGGTATGGATTTAGGCAGAAGTGTAAAGGTGATCTTATTTTGGAAGAAAACTTGGCACTTTTTTACTTTGGGGGGGGGGGGGGGGAGGTCACACGCGGGCAAGCTCGCGTACAATGATAAGAACATACGCTCGCACACTACGAACGACGCTTTCACATGGACCGAAGCCACGCCTACTGCGCATGGCTTCAGCCTTAGCGTAGTGCGCAGTAGGCGTGGCATGCGCGAGCGTGCTTGCGTGCGACCGCCCTCCCCCCCAAAGTAAAAAAGTGCCGAAAACTTTAAAGTTAATAAGGTTTTTGAGATGTTGAGTTGATTTGTTTCATGTTTATTGGGGGGGGGATAGGAGAGACTGATGATAGTAACGATAGTGAAATGGAGGAGGGTTTGGAGGGGTGTTTAGTGATGTGCGTGGTGATAATTTGGTAATGATGTGATATTGTTTAGAGTCGGTGAGGTTGGATGTGTCACAAGCGGTGGATGAGAAGCCATCGATAGGGTGTGCGGCGTCGAGTTCGGGTCTCGTCACGAAATTTCACGTTAGCAGCACCTCTAGCAGCCATAAAGCAGCAGCAGCCCTCAAATCGCCGTCAAACAACACAAATGAAGTACGCCGTCAAACGTACGCAGTGCTTTCTTTATTTCATCTTCTTCTTTAATCTATAACATTCACACTGTCTTTCTGCATTTCTTGACTTCTCTGTCTCCCTCTCGATTCTTCGTGAGCAGTTGAGAATTTCTTTTTGATGGAAACGAGAATACTTCTCCGCGCTCTCTGAGTTTCTTATAGTCTTTGTTTCGATTGTCTGATCATTTGGCAGTGATTAATTATGGTGGTTATGTTATGTTTCGCATTTGTTTTCGGTCTGTTTTCTGTTCTTTCCTGAGCGTTTTTTTCTTTTCCTTTCATCTTTTTGTGCACTCATCGTTCCTGTCTCTCTGATTTTTCAGTGTTCTTTTTTTTCGCTCATTTTAGACGTTTTCATGTTGGAATTTGGAATTTTTTAAAAAATTTTATTGTTGTTATTGTTTATTATTATTGTTATTATTTGTTATTATTGTTGCTGTGACAACGTTGGTTGTAATGAATGTGTATAATGAATAATTTCAGGCACAGCACTAAGATAAGCGTCTCTTCAGAACAAGAGTCGTGTTCAAAAAAAAGTATTGTTGCGATTGGTAGTTTGGGGAGTAATGCGGCGAGTGTTATGAATACACCGAAGGTGAGGGTTGTGTTATTATTTATTTATTTATTTAACGATACGAGTGAAGTAGTTAGCTGTATGACTGATACCACTATATTAACAATATCACCCATATGACATTCTTCCTTGGTTGGCATTCCGACACTTTTTTACTTTGGGGGGCTGGGGGATCGCACGCAAGCACGCTCGCGCATGCCACGCCTACTGCGCATGACCTCAGCCCCATCTAAGCGTAGCCTGAGAACGCTCGATGCTACAACAGAGGCTAGCAAGCGAGCTCAGGCTTAGGCTTAGGCTGAGACTACGCTTAGGCTGAAGCCATGCGCAGTAGGCGTGGCTTCGGTCCATGTGAAAGCGTCGTTCGTAGTGTGCGAGCGTATGTTTTTATTATTGTACGCGAGCTTGCTCGCGTGCGACCCTCCAAAGTAAAAAAGTGCCGCATTCCTTTTGTCTGCTGTTAACGTTGCGAATGATGTGTTTTTATGAAATTCTAACTTGGATTATTATTGTAATTAAAATAGTTGATGAATAAAGTTGCAGAAGGAGCGTAAAAATAACAAACGGGAACGAGGCAAGCCGCGGATAAAGTCAGTGGCAATCGTGCCATCGGACGACTCGTCTTCGGATTCGGGCATTCAAGGAGGTGGTGCAGCATTATCTTCAATAAGTAATAATACAATTAAAGGAGGGGTTAATGATAAACATAATTATAATAACAATAACAATGATAATAATAATGATAATAATAACAATAATAATGTTAGTAATAATAACTGCTCAACAAGAAAGCAAATGAATAATGCAGTGAAGCAAGCAGCCGGATGGCAGCAGCAATCGACATCGGCAGATGGAGTGCCATCTGAGGGTGTGGCTTGTTCAGTTGCGAAAGTAGTGATAGAGGGTAGCGATTCATCACGGTCTGAGAGGAAGGCAAAGGACTCCGACAAGGGCTGCAATAGTGCCCAACGGGGGATTAGAAAGGCGAATGGAGACGAGCTGGGCTTGTTGTCTGCAGAAGGTTTGGACAGTGCAAAGAGGAGGAAACAACAAGAGGGTGCATCCTTAGGTGTTGCTGGCAGTAGTGAGTATAGTTGTAGTAGTGCTACGGCTAGTGCTAGTGCTGCAGGGATTGCACGTAAAACTAAAGCAAATCCCCGGGAAGTGCTGGCTACTGCTGCTGCTGGGAAGGTAGTGGGCACTGGCACTGGGACTGGGAATGGGGCTGGAACGGGGGTAGGGGTAGGGGCGGGGGTAGGGGTAGGGGTAGGGGCAGGCACTGCAATGAAGTCATCGATAGAGAGTTTGAAGCGTGACAAAGAAGTGAAAAGAAAGACTTTCGGGGAACGGGCAGCCTCAGAGGAGTCAGCCAAGCACAATGCAAACGTCCTCAAATTAAAATTCCACCCGTCCGCAAGCAACCTTCAACAGCACAATACCCATAATAACAGTAATAATAATACTGATAGTAATATAAGTAAAAAGCGCACAACTCCACATGCAATATCACCAACAACACCTACAGACACCCTGAAGCCTACCTCAGGTTATCATTATTAATATTGTTGTGAATATATCATTGTTGTTATTATTATAGTTATTATTGTTATTATTATTATCGTTATTATTATTATTAATACTGATAATGTTATTACAGATACAATTAATGGTGTTATAGTTATTATGATTATGACTAGTATGATTGTTATTATTATTATTATTATTATTATTATTATTACGGGTACTATTATTACTGTTATTATTATTATTGTTATTATTATTGTAACTATGATTGTTATTATTATGAATAACGTTATGGTTATTAACATCATTATTATTATTTTTATTAGTGGCAATAATAGCATTGGCACTTTTTTACTTTGGGGGGTCGCACGCAAGCACGCCCGCGCATGCCACGCCTACTGCGCATGGCCTCAGCCTAAGTGTGACCTCAGCCCCATCTAAGCGTAGCCTCAGAACGCTCGATGCTACAACAGAGGCTAGCAAGCGAGCTCAGGCTCAGGCTTAGGCTGAGACTACGCTTAGGCTGAAGCCATGCGCAGTAGGCGTGGCTTCGGTCCATGTGAAAGCGTCGTTCGTAGTGTGCGAGCGTATGTTTTTATTATTGTACGCGAGCTTGCTCGCGTGCGACCCCCCAAAGTAAAAAAGTGCCTAGCATTGTTATTGTTTTAGAGTTTCATTTTATAATTTGATTTTCAGATGAGACACCGAAAATAACAGTTAAGTTGTCGAGGACGTCAGATGCTCAGCAAAATAAAGATCTCACTGCATTGAGTTCGTCTTCGAAAGGTGATTTTAGTCTGTTTATTATTATTGTTGTCGTTATTATTATTGTTATAAATAAAAGAGTAATAATTCAGCGGCAGCATCAGAAGTAACAATGCGATCCCAAAACGAAAGCCAGGAAAAGGAAAAAGGTGACGAGGTGGTGAGTGAGGCGCAGTTGAATAGTATCGAAGAGGCGTTGATGGGGCGATTATCACCGAAGACGTGGGAGGATGAGGGGAGGGGTGAGGGGGAGTTGGTGCTGGTGGTGGACGGCAAGGAGAAGTCGACCGATGGGGTGATTACGGCCAGTGGAGGGGTGGTGAAGAAACGGAAACATAAACGGGTGAGTGGGTTGAGTTTTGATAGGTTGATTGGTTGATCGATCGATTGACTGGTTTATTGATTGATTGAGCGATTGATTGGTTTATTAGTTGATTTATCGATTGATTGGTATTTATTGATTGATTGAGCGACTGATTGTTTGATTGATAACGAGCGACCCATACAACCTATCTTACTGCTTCATATTAATCCATCGTTGATGTGTTTGTTGATATGATCGGTTCGAAACGAAAAGTAATGAGTAATGAGT